TGCTTTCTGTTTAGTCGCAGTCTCCTTTGGCTTTATAGTATTGGTTCGACCCCGTTTTCGCAACGTGTTCATAGCGTCAGGGAGACCTGGAACGTACTAAGTCCTGTGTCCTTTGTTATACTGTTCATGATTTACATTGCTAGTTTAATATCCTGAAGTTTCCCAAGTTTGGTGTCTCAGTGAACGATATCTATCTAAAATAATATCTAATCTATCACACGTTTTGGTTGAAAGTGAGTTCGTAGTTGGGCCTTATTTTCTTTTTTCTGGTAGACTCACTGAATATTGCCTTAACTTAAGTTCTGTTGCAAGTTGAGAGTTCACCCAAGCGCTAACTGGATTTTAGATAAATTATATGAACAATTGCATACCATGATTATAAAAATATTGAAGAAAGTTTTATGGCACAGAAAGTCCTAACTAGACTTTCCCACTTGCCAGCTAAACGGTTTTTAGTCAGCATTGTATATGTTTTATTTATAATATCTTTGAGATTCTTAGTAATCCATTGTTTGAAGGTTGCTAGTTTAACCGAAGTTTCATTTTCGGAGGATCGCTTTCGGCGTGAATTTCAGGCACTCGATGAAGCATAGGATTGGAAACTATGCAGAATTTAGCTATAAGGCACTGTTTCTAAATAAACCGTTAAATCTTGACTCTAAAGTAATGCATGAAGTAGCTTTTTAGCTATAAAAACCTAAGTGATCTTTTAATCTTGTTCATTTTTTTAATTTTTCATGGCTAATTTAGTTTGTCTTAACGTTTTGTTTATATAAGATTATTAAATCTGTATAGGCTGCAGAGAATCCCTGAACGACATCCTTACAGTTTGCTACTTTATTTTTCTCATTTTAAATGCCCGACACAATTCTGACGAGCCGTTGTCCAAGAACATATGAATATTTTTTTCATTCTACGTTCTGATTCATCCATCTTTTCTATATATTATTTTTAGGAATCAACACTTAAACCATCATCTACGAGCGATTTACTCTGGACTGTGCGAGCCCTCCCATGTGATCGTTTCGTCTGGAATTGGTTTCTTATTCCACCAAGATTTCGTGCATGTGATCCAGAATTTCGACCTCATGATTTTCCAGAACAAGATGGATTAGAAGGGGTGCCAACTGATTGTTCTTTATCATCATCCAGCTCTTCATCATTCTGTCTCCCCACTCCTCATCATTCTCGCTTGTCTCCTGCATCTTTCTCTCTGGCGATTGCAACCACCTTTTCAGGCACTTTTGCCACCAAGTCCTCATTCGATTGGTTCTTACCCTTGATTCATGGCTTCATTGGTCAGGGCAGTCTCTCTGCTTGTGGTCAGCCTCATCATCTTACACTGATCGCGCGTCGCTCACGCCATTATGCCGGAGCTCGCTTTCTTAAACGTGGGATCAACCTACTGGGAGATGTAGCTAACGAGGTTAACTATCTTTTCAATGTCTTAAGTTTAACATGAAAAATTAAAATTAAATAAGAATTTTATTCACCCTAGACACAAAAACCAGGATTTTGCGGCCTCTATTTTGTTAGCGGCCTCTATTTTGTTAGCGGCCTCTTATCAATGGAAAGTAGTTGTTTGACCTTGTTTTCAAAACTTGGTCAAATAGGCAGGAAGCCCTAGAGGAACGCACCTTATCAGTAGTCCATAGTATGCATGATAATTTTCGGTCGGACCGTGGACTTGGTATCAAGTCCAGACAATGTGCGTTCCTTTAGGTCTTCCTGACAATATGATTAAGTTGAGAAAATATGGTCAAACAATTACCATACATTGGAAGGAGAGTGTGACCAAAGTGGAGACCTCAACATCATGGTCTACGTATTCACCACAAAGTTATCGTTATTTCTTTGAGCAAACTAGACTCATTGAGAACGTATTCGCTTCATTTCCGGAACTTCTTTACTCTCTTCTTCCTTGTGTTTACGATAGATCATTGATCCAGGCGTATCTTTTTTGCTCGTATTGTTGTATCCTGATTTTCTCCTCGTTTTGTTAGGCAATAGGCAAAGTTATCGCTAACTCCGCCTTTTTCCAATCTCATGTTAATTAAATTTTTTCCCCCTAAGTTGTAAATGTGCCCTCTAACCATCCGTTTCTTTGTGTTTCCACCATATGAGGCCCTTCTTTCTGTTACCTTCCAATTGATGTCGTGTCCATTCTGTGCGATGTATTCCACTATATCCGATATTTCACTATCCATTTTCTTGCAGAACCTTTGATATTCCTTGATTCGTATGCTGACTTTTCTCTCTTTTTCGCCAATATATTTTTATTCGCAGACGCGGCACTCTATGGACTAAACTCCCGAGCGTTTCGATTTGTCTACACTATCATGTTGCATAGGTAGACTTGTCAAGAGTGTTGTTTTTTCCTTCATGGTCAGGCGAATATTCCATTTTCTTAATGTTGGCCATAGTTTTTGATATAGTTCGAAGGAAGGGCGGCATGTCCACCTTTGTAAGTAGTTCTCAATTTTTACCTTTTCATAGCCCACATCCTGCCATCTACAATAAGGATTACCTACTTCAAATTCACCAGCAACATATAGAAACACACATTTGGACTTACTATGAGGTTGCGGCTCTCACCCCAATTAGCAAATGTGTGTATGGACAAATTAGAAGAGAATTTCAAAATATCACCTACAAGCAAGAGTTGTTATGCAGAACAAGGATAACAACTTTGTAATTTGGATATATGGAATTGAAAAAGCGGAGGAATTCCTGAAGATTTTAGACCGAATTAATGAAAAAACCGAGTTCACAATGAATATAGAGGAAGAGGGGAGTTTATGCCCAATGGAAAACTCGTGAGAAAATTCCTCGTAAAGAAGTAATATGCCGGAATAATACTCAATTTTGAGCATCATTACAGCTATAAAATGAAGATAGGAGTATACAGAAGCATAATCATAAGGAACCTACGATTAACGGGTGTGCAATTCTAGAGTGAACAAAAGGAAAAATTGTAGAAAAACTGGGTTTCGCAGATAAACTTAACAGACTGATCGAAGATATGACGACCAAGATGGTGTGGCCTTTTGTGTGTTCACAGTTTTCTTTCGTTGTATAGAAGTTGTTTAACCTTGTTTTCGCAACTTGGTCATGATGATAAGAAGACTTAGAGAAACGCACCTTGTCCTGAATCCATTGTATGCATAATTATTTCCAAAGTCAGACCCTTGGGAATGTACCACATCCAGTGTCTGATTCCTCCAAAAGACGACGGCGGATTTATCTTCTGGTGGAATCGATCTTCGAATCTCTTCACCAAACACTTTCACACGAAATGGAAGTAAGCTTAACAATTATGATACAAGGGATCCTCAGAATCCAACTTTTCTTCGCGTTTTAAACTTATTCGGACTATTTCAAATCAATAGTATGTCCTATATATTCTTGCTTAGTGAATAAGTATATATGATCAATTCCGATTAATTAAGCCATTGGTTACTCAAGCCGCCATTTAGTTGGGACAAATTTTATAGAACAAACAGAAATTCTTAGAAATCATTGACTATTAGGACCGACATATTTATATAATTCATGCACTGAATACAGTTATTTAATTAGGCCGTAGCTTATCTTTAATTTTATACATTTTTAACTACATAAAATTTCGCATAATTAAGACGCCGACGTAATTAGGATAATATTTTCCAGTCCGAATGTATTCCAATTAACCGGAATCATTTAAATGCATCTATTTATTCATTCGTTTTTTATCAAGTTTGATCAACTTACTCGGGTATAATCAGCACCCCTAGCGTGAATCTAAGTCATAAGTACTAAATCGTCACTAC